CGGAGCCGGATGCCGGGCCGGGGTTGGGACGGGCCGGGCGCGAGCGGCTCTCAGAGGGCGGCGGCGGCGCACTGGCGGGCGACGCCGGGCGGGAAGCGGCCTGCTGGAAGGATTCTTCCCGACCGGAGGCCGGCGGCGATCGCCCCATCGCGGGAAATCTCCCGACCCCGCCGCCGAGACAGGAGGCGACTGTCGCCTCGCGTGCCCACGCCGGCGCGGTGGCGGGCGGCGGACTCGCGGCCTAGCGGCGGGGCTGGCGGCGGCGGCGGCGGGCGGCGGCGGCGGCGGGCCCGCGATCGATCCCGGTGCGTTGGGCAGCGCCGAGTGCGCATCCGCCGCCACGGCCACCGCCGATGCCCAGTGGGCCGAGCGCGAAGCCCACGGCGCCGAGCTCAAGCAAACGTTACGGCGGTCACCTTATTTAGCGAGTAAAATATATATGAAATGCATCCGCAAATAATACAGTTCTCAATATTTTTCTTGCTCGACCGCATTTTAAAACAATGGTCGACCCTCCAACTGGATTTGGAAAAAATCGTAATTTTTTAAAAATATTTTTACTATTTTTTAACAAATATAAACAAATTTTTAAAAACCAAATCACAGATTATACTTGCACTTAAGTTTCATTTTATTAACGTAAAATTATAGATGTGAATGAAATCCAAAAGATGAAAGAATTTGTTATTCATTATCAGGCGCTTCTAGATTTTTACAATAAAAATAATAATAATAAAATTCATAAATATTTTTGTAATCAATGGGATCATGTTTTTATTATAGCAATCAGTCGTCGATGCATATTTGGATATCGAGCCCTTAATCATCATCGACCCATCGGGTGGTCGATACCGTTAACGTTGGGAAACCCTGTGTTAAATGGACATTAAAATTTGAGAATGGTGGGGGAACCGTTTATGTTCACAGCGCCATGAACTTAGCGACGATCTTCCCTTAGCGCTTTAACTCTACGTAGTAGCGAACACGGCACGCCAGGAAGAACACTGATGCCATGCAGTATGAAGAACACACCCGCAGCCTCATACGCGAAAGTTCCTGCTGGTTCTTCCCTTACATGTTTCGTGTTTTCTAAGCGGTTGTAAACAAACTTTTTAACAAATGTAATGATTTGTTAATTATTTACTTTCTGTTTTTATTTACGGTAACTCGGGCGTCAGAAGACATTCGGCCTTTACAGCTGCCATTCACCAATATTTAAACAAACGTATTGAAAAGAGCTTAAATTAGGAAGTAAATTTGGTAAAGTAAAAGCAAAATTTTACATTATGTTGCCTCAATGCTCATACTTTGATCATTAAATATTATGTACAAAAAAAATTAATTTGATAGATTAAAAAAAACAAAAAACAAGTATATCCCTACAAATTTTCAATAATTATTAACGAATAAATAATACTATTAAATTCCTTTCTAAGTGTATTCAATGTCATTCAGTTTCCTTCGTTTTTTCGACAAACTTTTAGATTTACTTTAGATACAATATTCTTTAAAAAAAAATCACTGTCCGCCTTCATAACTTCAATCACCGAGAAGAAATTGTTAGGGGGCCCAAGACATGTCAATTAGAAATAGTCTGAGACGGGAAACCACGGACCAAAGGTGAACAATTTGCAAAGAAACAGAAGTGTAATTAAAACCCCTGTGATGAGGCAACCCGTCATACCCTTATGAATAGCCTGTTGCCTAAGACACAAAATGTACATTACAATGCAATAGTCAAAGCTTTATGGTCATATCTGGAATGAATGCATGACCTTCAAAGAATAATGACTGAATGTATGACACGAATAATGAGAGGCAGGGAAAACAGGAGAACCTCTTCATTACATCTATACTGACTATAATTTACGCTGTCAATTTAATGTACAAACATATTAATTTATTTTTAATGTATTAAGTTTCATAAACATTAATCTCCATTAGATGCCATGCCATTTCTGACAGCGTAGTTCTCTCGCACCCTGTGCACATCGCTCTTCCGTTTCGGCCCAGTGCGCTCTGCGCCTCGGGAGACACCTCCGCGCCCTCGCCCGCCCCCCCCCCTTCCGGCGGGGCCGATCGCCGCCGCTCCGTGCCCGCTCGGCTGCTGCCGCTGGGGCATCGCGCTCTCGAAATATCGGTCCAGAGCGCGGCTGACCTGTGGACGCGAACGCCTGCGATACCTCGAACTCAAGTTCGGACGTCACAAAAGAAGTTCCTGGGGGAAGGAGGGGGTGCGGGAAGCGAACGTTTGGTTTTACAGGGTGACCAACAAATCCATACTTTGAAACGGGCGTGCGGGCACTGGAGACGGGAGCGGAAAGACGGTGCAATTGCCACCTTGCCTAACCTATCGTGTAGGCATCAATAACTGGATTTAGAGAATTATTACCGTAACACGCGATCCTATATAGAGTAAACTGCTAGGACAAATTCCAATAACTTCTGTATTAATCAATATGCATTTACAACCACAGCGTAGGGTCTCTGGAGGGTATGTTCACGTTAAAAAGTTTCATTAGTGCTTTGCAAGTTCAGAATAAAAATAAATTTAAGCAAAGTACCGGCATGGTATCTTTGGAATTTGCGTTAATTTCTTGCAGAAATTACGTGAAAACTACTGTTTATATGCACATCGTCTTTTCTAAAGACTTGAGTTTTTAGAACAATTTTATTTATGACAAAAAGGACCATCTTCAATTATGCAATTTTCCGATGCTAACGTCTTGCAATTTTCGAAAATACGAAATTCATAGAAAATGTGACTAGCACCAATAATTTTACCCTTGCATTTTGTGTTTTTCCAATTTTGTTTCCAAGGTACCAGAATGCCGCTCCGTCCAGATACTCGAGGTACCGTCCCTAACGCTTTTCCGTTACCAGGACCCGGCAAAACGTTTATCTGTCGAAAAATCGCCGTATTACGGAGCACGTTTACAATACTTTATCTTATTACGAAGTATGACGAGAAAGTAAAAACACCCATGGACTTCATTATAATATATAAAAATATAAGTAGTGTAGTTTTAACACAAAGTATTTACATGAGTTTTCGATAATAAAAAATATTTCTGCCAGTTCGGATGGCCGAGATCGCTAAGGCAGTAGTGCCGAAGCGATCTCGGACCGAAGGATCGCGGATTCGAGTCCCGCCTCGGGCTTGGTTGTATTGTGTTTGTCCCTTCGCCCCCTATCATCATCATATCGTGTCACCGTCATAGTTACCATGCCGTTACAAGCAATAGTGGTCGCTAATGACCTAGAAGTTGATGCGACCTTAAACAATAACAACAAAAATCTATTACTAACGTTGCTATGCATGAAAATTCCCTCAACACTTCCTCGCGACAGTCTACTCCTTCATGTTTAAAGAGAACATGTGGGCCTCAAACGAGGCGCAACCAGAAACAAAACGTCCGCCCAGGATAAACACTTGTGACGACCACGGCGCTGCCCATCAACGCACCCTTTCGGAGGCCTGGCATTCGTTCTCGCCGCCGGCCGCTGCGAAGGAGCCAGTCACGAGCGTCTCTGGAGGCTGTCAGGGAAGGACTGCTCACGCAACGCAGAATTCTTTGTGTTAAGCGCACAAAGAGATAATGATGAGATATTGGGAAATATCTACGTAAAGATACCGATTTAGACACGAAAAATAATCCAATAAAAATCTTATGTACCACCTGATAAAAACCTGACTCTTCACACAGGGCGGTCACTCGTTTCCTGAAAAGTTTCCCCGACTTTTCTCGTTTTTCCAGAACATTTTTTACATAACTGATTGATAAGAATTTAAGAATACTTCACACTACTTGGAGAAAACATTAACGCAAACAGGAAACTAATTTCTTAGTTCTCTGATTTTTCCGTGAAAAAGAATATAAAACTCAACAAATTGAGTAATGAACTATGTTGTATTATTTTTAGAAATAATATTTAGTTTTATAACTATCTCAAAATTGTCCCTAACTTCTAACGATTCATCCACACCTTATTTGATTTGATTTTTTATTTTTCCAGAGCAATGAAATTCCGATTCTTTCCCGTGTTTTCAGAAGGTGACCACCATGATATATAATAATGGAATAGCTGTCCATAACATCTGTGAGCAAAAGTCACAACAAAGAAGTTAATTCAAAACATGTAAATTGTGAGAAACCGCAGGTTAAAATTATTGAATCCCATTTTTGGGGAGAGAACCTTCCAGAGAACTCGAAATTTCGTATGCCTAAGAAGAAATCTTTAATACGAACGGTGTTTGAAGTGATCCTCAATAGCCGAAGGATTGAGAAATGCTGGTGAACGCTTGTTGAATCTTTTTCGGGCAAACTTTGGGGCGTGACCATACCAAGTCTGATAGCGCGTTTCTAATCCTATAGAGTGCAATATATCAATGATAAAGAATATTTTAAGCAGTTTCGCCACCTATCAAGTCTGTCATTCACACAGGCTAAAGCTTTCTATCATTACACGCCACATACAATATAGTCTTGTCACCATTATCTGAGCTGATTTTCTGCAGGTCGCTGGAAAAAAATGCTCCATCAAAGACTTGGGTAACTTTTCCAAACAACTGGCAAACATTTTTAGATTGTAATTTCTCATGACACTTTATTCCATTTACATTTTCAACGACGGAATTGGTCAACGCTGTAGATAATAGTCTTAATTATGAATTTGGTACACTATTTTTTGTATTTTTCCTGAGTAATTCGGTTTCCTTGTACATCATGAACATTCGTCAGCCGAAGATAGATCACTCTCATGGGACTAAAAATGAACTCTGTTACACAAAACATATTCTAGACATGTTAGCAATCACAATGTCAGAAAAAGAGTAATTACAAGTTTATACCAGTACCATAAGTGTATATGAGCATGATAAACAAAATAAATTATGTTACGTATACAAAACGTATTCCATGCAATATTTGAACTATTACTTTGTCATAAGAAGGGAAGGAGTTTGTGAAGAAGAGACACAATAATATAATGTTTGTTACCTGACGAGAATGGTATAAGTCTTGATTCATCGTTGTGTTTATCCATTGCTTCATGCCCATACCAATGCAAGGCCTGAAAAATGGAAACTCGTGTTAGAAATTGTCTGACAATCAATTATAATTTAATAAATAACAGTTACATCACTAACCTAATGTATTACTCAAAGTTTGTTACATTATTCATCACAAGGAACAAACATCTCTGAAGAAAGTTCAGAGCAGTAACGATCCTCCGAACACGATGGTGCGACTGCAACCACTTCCTGAAATACGCAATTGACTATCCACGACTTCACTCAACCATATCTGACGTTGTCAGTGGACCATCCTAGATCGTACACAGTGGATCTTCGACATGAAAATTATATTGACTTCAAATCCAGCCTGGCCATAACCGCTACTATGTCATTTTCACCAGAAGCCTACCGCAATCATACAAGATCACACAAGAGATCCAGGCTTTTCTCATCTTGGTTTTCATCCGACATTTGGAGATCGGATATTTGAAGTTGTTCGAGTCTTTGAAGCTACTTCCTGCTTCTCTTTACAAGTACTTGGGACACAATTTTAACTTACGACTTGTACCGAATATTCTCGCCCTTCCCCTAATGCCCATCAATTATTGCAAATGATTAACAGAGCGCTCATTAAACTGCAAACTGTTGTATCCCGAGTAATTTATGAAATGACATCGAAATTTGACTTCGAAAGATTCCTTGTCTAACAATACACGTCCTTAAAATTGTCATATTCCAAAAATAATATTTTGCCGCTTAATTTTATAAAAAATATAAATCTTATTGGTATACAACCTTCGTTGTATACCAATAATTTTTTAATATTCAGGCAAAATACTGTGCGCCACATAATATAAAAACAACAACAAATATCAAATTCTATTCAATGTGCTGATGAAGTACGAAACAAATAAAATAAGTTAAAATGCAAAGTCTAACTTGAAACTCTTGATTCATCGTTTTCCAGTTTTTTCCTTCTGTGAAAACAAGATCTTCTTGGTTATATTTTCCAGTTTCATTATTACTTTTCTCAAACTCTGAAAAATCTTCTGAAAGAAGGCAAAAAACAGCAACTAAAATAACTTCTCTTGAAATCAATTTCGCTTGCTACACAAATTCAATTTCTGCCACCGGAAGAAAGCGTACTCGCACAGACCATCGTTTGAACGGAGTACGAATTTACCCATGTAGCAATAGAAATAAAAGCTCAAATACAAAAGCAGTTTGGTGAAAAAAGATGATTCATTATTTACAGACAAAATGATTGATAAGTATTTTGAACTGTAAAGAATTTTTAAAATTAATTTGTTCAAAATTGTCAAGATTATGACTCATACAGAGAGAAGCAAACACGCTGACGTCTTCCAGAATGCATTAACTAAATAAACTGTGATTCACTGAAGAAATCTGAGGCAACCGAAAAACAGAAATTCCTCACAAAATGAAACAAGCTTGTCTCAAACAGCCAAAACATTACTACAATGAACGTTTCATTTTATTATTGAGACCATTAAATACTTCAAATGCCGTTCATACTATCATGTCCAAAAACGTCATTTTTGTGCAGAACATGCAAACTCAAAAATTAAGTAACAAATTAAGAAGAAATGCTCCAATAATGATAATAAAGAGCTCATGTTGAAAATTTAAAAAATAGTTATTTCGTTATTCTTGGCTTTATACACAGTAATCTTATGTGATTAGTGAATTATTGATTTGTTATTTGATCACACTAGTAGTATTGGCGTAACTTTAGAACTAGCACCGCCTGTCATCAAACACATCTTCCGGGTCAAACTTTTACCCACAGTTAAAGAACATGTCCCGGTTAATAGCTGACATAAATTTAACAAGCGCGTTGAACTCAAATGATCAACGAAGTAAGATGTACAGTAGAACCCCGCTAATCCGAAATCCACAAATCGAAAATTTAGAATATTCCTAAGTTGAGGATGGAGGAAAAAATAAACAAAAAACCTCATGTATAATAATGTAATAACAACATAAATAAGATGTTTTTTGTAATAAATTATCTATGAACATAAAATCATGAACACAGGAACTCAACCCAATTCTGAATACTGTAAGTAGAATACCCGTTAACAGCGACACAAATTGTGCTTCAACTCGTCTAAACAATGAAGCAACTACTACTGCATGCGCTCGGTTATGTACGTATTTGTACACCGAAGGTCGCAACATTGTCATTTCCACATGTCGCTGTGCTACATTGCCATTTTCTCACATATCACGTTCCGTTGCATTAGTCTGGTATTCCTATAGATGTATTTGTAAACGTATGATAATCTTTTTTTCGGATAAACAGAAAATTTCCGAATTCGAACACACCACATCCCCAATTACTTCGGAATACCGGGGTTTTACTGTCTTAACATGCTTTTGCCCGGCAGGCGGAATCAGGATCACGACCCTACATGCAAAAGTCCTGATGGAAGGGTGGCCAGTTTCTCAGCGTCATTCACTCGAAAAGTACCACGCCAGTGATGACACGGGTGGCGGCTCGACACCTCCGGGGTAGTCCCCGGTTGGACCTCGGGTTCGTCGTGGGAGAATCTCCCCACACACACACACACACAAGGGAAATGAAGAGGGGACTCGGCCCGCGCAATTGAGTGGCGTCTGACTCCGGCATCGATCTGGACAGCTGGTGATCTTGAAGCGGGTGATGCGGCTCATCTACGTCCGCGGGCAGTTGTTCGGCAGAGCGTTGCGTTCAGGTGCATCCAAATGCTAGCTTCACGGAGCGTTTTGCGCAGCTCACGACGGGCGAGAAGGAACTCCGAAAATGATTCATTGACGATTCTTGGCGCGTCAACGGCTGTCTTTAGACCCGTTAGTGTAGTACATCTCGATCAGGATTTTGTACAGTTTCAGTGATCCATTGAGATGGCCCTTTGTTTTGCATCTGGACGTAAATGTAGCTTCACTACGCGCACGTTTTGTCGAACTCTCCTTTTGCTTGTAATAGTAAGAGTAGAGGTAAGGGCGAGTTGCTATTTTGTTAGCAATGCAGAAAAATCATACTTTCAATTCATGTACCGATGCAAGTAAGTTTTCTATAACTCAGAAACGGAAATGACTATTTTACAAATATTGCTAATCTTGCGATTTTTAAAATTTATTATTTGTTAAACTTTTACTCATCTTTCAACTATTCATAGTTAAATTGACGGGAAGGGATTCAGGAACTCAAGAAAACGTGCGCAGATAATCTTCTCACCCCTAGATCACATCCAGTTTTTACTGGTTTTTTTACTGAATAAATCTGAATCTACATGTTTTTATCACTGGAAGTCTTGGTGGTGGTCTTTCCCAGCTGGATGGCGAGATCCGGTGCCGACCTACCCGTCGACTGGCGGGGTTTCCCCAATCAGGTATCTCTCGCCATCGTGACAGTCTCAGCCGAGACTAGCTCTAAATTTCCGACTATATTGTGTGGTGCACGTGTGTGTACGTTAGATGTGAGGGTAGAATAACAAAAAGGACGGAAAGATCGCGCGCGGTCCATGGCCCGTTTGTTACCTTATTGGTCCGGCATTCGCGTGGTGTAGATCGAAGAAATGAAGGAAAATAACTGATCAGATCAGCCTGTCGTTAGCATTCTCTTCCAGACAGCGGCAGAATTCGACCTAGCTAAGCAGCTAGTGTCGAAAATTCTGCCACCGTGGGGACTCGAAGCCTAGGACCTGCCAGTCAGAGGCACTACAGTAGCATTAATTGTTGTCCAGGGCCACCACGTCGGAACATAAGGAGAAACGTTAGCGCCAAATCTGTGGTCTAGAAACACCCTAGTACATACCGTAACACAGCGCAGTGTACGTCCAAAATATTGTATGATTTAAATATTGTGGCTCTGAAGTAGTGGGAGCTCAAGGAGAGGACACTGTCACCCAATCGGGAGCTTCAATACCAAAAATTTAAGTTGTAACGAAGCTTCCTATTCGATGACCAGAGTAAACAACTTCCAGCTCTCGACCTTCACGAGTCACTATATTTAAATTGAACCATCTATAACAGGAGTGACCAACAGGCTGCCCGCGAAGCCATTTTTTTACTGCGGAGGGTTATTTAGTCAAGGCCCCTTGTAACCATAACGGGCTAGAACACTGTGCGCCTAGCGCACGTGCCCTGCCCAAGTCAACACTCCTTTAACGGAAAAATCAATTAAATTTAGATTTAAGGAATTATTTTCCTAGTAAATTCAAAATCACCCCAATGTGTTTCACTGCGTTATGCACGACCGTTAGGACGACCTGATATCACGCATGGATTCATCCTCACAAACACACACCGTTACAGAGCAGCAAAGCAAACTGCCTAGATGAGCATTGAGGGGAAGTCAGCTACAGATCGCCCGAATAATAAAAGTATGACGTGCAACCATATTATTCATTTTACTTGTTGCTCTAGATGCCTCGCAAGATGGACACTTGTTATCTGTAAAAACTATGTTAAGACATCCCAGCGTCCATGCACAATGGTTTGTGCTGCAGTCGACCCAATATTTAGAGATTGTTCAATGTCGACAAATGTCAAGTGCGTGTCTTCTGTCACTATTATTCTTACAGCGTTAATGTTTTCATCTGTCACTGCCGTGGCTGGACGTCCAGAACACGGTTCATCTTCCAGAGACTGTCTTCCTCTCGAAAATTCTCGAAACCAATTGCCAACTGTCGCGCTAGACGATGCAGATTCGCCAGAAAACACGTGTCAAATAACTGTGGCATTCCTGCTTGCTTGGCATGACCGAGGTATTACTTTCCACCATGTTGACGGTGTATTCATTTGACAAGAATATGAAAATACGACTACTGCTCTTGGTAACAGATTCAAACAACGTTTTTTTCTCGAGCTCGTGCTTGATGTATGTACGCTTACTTTCAAACGGATTTGCATCGGGCAACTGCGATGACCAATCAAGTGTAACGATGTCAGACCGCCCGTTCCACTCGGTGCAGCGTGGGTCGTTGGCCTCCTACAAAGCGCTAGGAGCCCTCATTTTTCGTGGAGAACCAACGTTCGGCTTTAGGTAAGA